TTTGACGGCAAGCTCGGATTATTGCGCTCTTTCTGGCTCCACCATCACAGCTAGATGGATAGGGTGTGCTATTGCCTCGATGCCCTACTCTTAATTATAATTATACAGTCTTATTCCAAATTTCTTTATTTGTAAAGAAAAATAAATAAATGAAATAATAAAAATAAACAAGAATCTAATAATATAATAATTTGAAAATATCTTTACTTGTAAACAAAAATATAAGCCTAAAATATTTGAAACATGTGCATAAAATTAAATTTCTATTTCCATTTCCTCTTCTTTTCTAAATGGCCAATACTATTAAGTACACGTAATTGGAATCTAATAATATAACTATATCGAAATTTCTCTACTTGTAAGCAAAAATATAAGCCTAAAATATTTGACCCCTGTCAAGAATAAATTTATGTTTCCATTTCCTCCTCCTTTCTAAACTGCCAGCACTATTAAGTACATGTTATTTGAACAGGAATCTAAAAAAGACCAAATTTTCCATTATCTCTCAAACCATTCATTCTTATTATCTAAATACAATTGGATGGAATACTAAATTTTATGTAATTAGAAACAAAATGCAAATCAAAAGATTATCTGTGAAATATTCAGATACTTATTAATTATGATTATAGGTTATATGTTGGATGATATAATTTTCAACTAGACCTTCTGGATAGTATGTAGACTAACTCCTTTATAAGAGCAGCCATGGAACTAGTTCTAGTTACATTACGATTTTTGAAGTTCCTTATCTTCATCGCTGAAATCGGTGCATTTTGTGACAAGCATCTTTGCAATAAATATCAGCATTACCTGGAAACTTTTCTGTGCGATTCTCAAACCTTTCTCCACTGCTGACAATGTAAGCACATTTCGCAGACTTACCAAGCAAACCTGCGCCGCTCGATAACATCCTTTTTAAAGCAGTGTAGAGTAGAAAGCAGGCCGGCAGAGTGAAATGCAAATGGCGATAGCGAGCACGCCATCGTTTCCCGTTTGTTCTGTGTTTTGTTATGCTGTTGTTTTTGTTGTTGTCGATGTCACTTTTTTTGGTTTGTTGGATGTTTTACCCAAGCAACAACACGTTTCGCATCCGCTGGACTTTCGCCGCGATTTCCGTCAGCTCTATGCTGCGCGTCTCCCACTTCCTCATTTCCCCATTTCTTGTTTTTTGTTTGTCTTTCGTTTTGTATGCGTCAGACTCATTCTTTATTTTATTATTACTTTTTTGTTGTTGTTGTCGTTTTATTTTGTATTTTTTTTTTTGTGTTTTTTGAACAACGTTGGCCAAAAGTCAACCCATGAGCTGCGGCATTTTTAAGTAATTTTTATCGGTCAGCAACGGACGCGTGGGCACGAGTCTCGACACATGGCCTCCACTCACTGTCACGGTCGCAGCTGGAGCTGGACGAGCGGGATGAGGAGGAGGTGGAGGTGGAGGTGGAGTTGTGTCCTCTCTGGAACTCAGGGCAAGAAATCGGTAGTAGGAAATTTTAAAGTTGTTACATGACCACCAACAATGAAAGCGACAACAAGGTCAACGGATGCGGTTGGGCAGTGCGTGCAATCACGAAAGGCTTCATGACAAAGTCCCTGCCCGAGCCCGACTCTCCGCCTGTACGAGCATGTGGGTGCCGTAGTTTGGTGTCCAGCAAAGTACCGTTGACTGATGGTCCTGCGAGTGCTACACGCTGAATGATGACTGTCGACTCTCGACTGTCGTCTGTCGACTGTCGTCTGTCGCCTGCCGAGCACCAAGCACCAAGCACCGAGCACCGATGGCGACAAGTGACAAAATATGCAAGTATCAAACCGCAAATTCTCGCCCGTGAGTCCACAATCATTTTGACACTGGTTACGTTGAGTCGCTCGTTCCGCTTGGATTTGGATAGTTGCCTGACCCCACACATGGCAGGAGTGTGTGTGTGTGTGTGTGTGTGTGTGTACGAGAGGGAGGGAGAGGGCACATTTCGCAGGGGCTCGTTGCACGTTGCATTGTGCAGGAAATTGAAAAGCGCAATGCAAATTGCGTTCTGTTGCACGGCGTTTGGTCGCCCTTAGTAGTTCGTCGATTGTTGGCCGCCATTCGGTCGTTGCACGTTCCAGCTCCAGTGGTTGACAATTGATTTGTGTTTATGTGTTTGTGTCCAGGGTCCAGGCGCGCGCGCACTTGTCGGCCCATTGAGTTGTGCTATGTGCGTCCTTTTGGGTTGTGATTTAAAGACATTAACAGTTTTATGGCACGACTATGCGGCCGTATAAGAATTAATGGTGCTAGAGCTGGCAATCCAGAAATTATACAGTTGCATGCTGCTGGCCCATTTCCTTGAAATGGCCATGAGAATATCTCAATTAAATATAAGCACCAATTGCCCACCCCATCATGGATGGCAGTTATGGCAGTTTTCTAATATTTGGCAGCTAACTTTTCGGTCCATGTGGAGCAAACTGCAGAAAAACATTTTAAATATTCTCAAGTAAGATATTGTGAAATCGGCCAGCAGCTATATGCTATAGAAAACCGCCTCCTTCTGGGCGCTACAGGCATCAGAGCCAATCATCTTCTAGTTTCATCAACAAATTTGTTGAAAAAAATAAAAATAAAAAAGTGAACTTAAACTAAATAAAACTAAAGAATAAAAAATTATCTAATAACGAAGCTGGCTCGGTGGAGGGTTCTTATTTGTCAATAATATGCCCCGACGCACAGCACAGAGTAGTCAGAGACGTCGTTATACTTAACAAAAAATAAATAGAGATGAAGAAATAACAATAAAAAATTAAATTATAATAATAATAAAAAGATAAAAATATAATTACAAGTTAAAGAATGGAGAAGGACTGACCCGGTGGGTTTAAGCTCTAAAGCAACTTCGCAATATTTTAATTTTGTTCACATCTATATATATTATAGTAATCGATATGTATTATATCATAACTAACGGGCTTACACTGCTACTCTTGAATCTCGACTTTGAGCGGAGCATGGCACACCTGCTATGTGTTTGTTTGAGTTGGCTGCACGTCCCGCTTCCCCCAGCACTATCTGTTATACCAATGGCTCTCTGTTATCTTTATTTTTGCTCTGCAAGTAACAATTTAAAAGGAGAAATTGCAGAGCCGAACACTAGAGTCGAGTGGATTCGACTATGAAATATCCTGTAGCCTTCCCCGTACATTTCGACTTTCTCGCTGTTTTAAACTAAAAAGTTTTTAATTAAACACAATTAATACAATAACAAATATAAAGCAATAATGTTTGCGGGATTGTGATATATGTGTGACTATTTTTGAGACTGTGTGCAGCATAGAGTCGAGCCAAAGCAGCAACAGCTAATTAATGGCTTAAATTTCCTTCTCGATGAAACTCGACATGGCGAACAATAAGCACTAATCGCGTGGTTGAATTTGGGTAAGCGGTGCCATAAATTCCCAAGAGTTCTGAAAGAAGTTATGGAAATATCAAAATAGCGGGTGAATGGAGGCGGAATCAGTGAGTGGGGTTTTTGGGATTTTCCTACTATTTGCAATATCCTCATTAATTTAGATGGACATTTATATAATTCATAATAATAGTTGTACTACTCGTATCATATTAAAAAGGCATTTGCAGATTTCCAACGGGATATAAGTATACGAGTGTACACAGGGATCGATAAAAGTGTTAGCTTTCGTCAAGCTTACTTAACGGTAAAAACCGTAGAACAAAAGTAAAAGTGTAAGTTTCGAATCCAAAGGGTGCGTCCTTTCAAGGATTCATTCATTCAAGCCGCGATAATTATCAATTTCATTGAAATCCTTTGATTGATATTCTTATGCACCAACTCGATCGGTGTGATAGATACTGGATTAATATAGTATTTTGGGTATTTAAGCAGCAAAACTGTTACAACTGCAGGAAATACAATATTGGTTTGGTAATTAAATACCTATTTAGACCTACCTATTTAGGCAAATCAAACATCTTTGTCACACAGATTGCGGCTTATTGAAAAGTTGATTGCACACTTGCATTTATTTATTTATAAACCTCATCCTATTGTTACAAGTATTAGTTGACCTTTAAGTTATTATAACTTTTAATTTAGTTTTATTTGACATTAAGTATTACTGTTATTTATTTATATATTTTTTATTTTTCGTATTTGTTATGGTTATTATTTTTGTGATTTATTTTTTTTTCTTATTTTATATTATTAGTTTTATTTGAAACTTTTTGTTGTTGTGGCATATTTGTATATGTGTGTCTGACTTATAAAATTGTTGATATGTATGTATTTTAATTTAGGTGACGTCCATTTAGATGTACATACTATTGCACGCATGCTTGAGCCTAAGTCTGAAGGGCGTTACTCTGGTGACTTTCTATAGTTATCTTTCTATAGTTATCTGGCAATTCATCACGATTGAAGTGGGCTTGCAAACGATGGAGTTTTATTTCAATACAATAGAGGACACGAGCTTTGTCCGTTGACAAGTCAACACAATCTGGGTCTGCTATGCGAAAAGATGATAAAAATCGTGTAATCTGACGTCACAGCCTAAAAAATGTATAAATAGAAAATGTGGTTTAAAAAATGTACTTGCATTTATTTGTATGTGTTTAATTTAAATTTGAAGATCCACACCTCTAAGAACCCACACTACTCGTATTTAAATAATAACTTGTGGAGCTGGTTAAACAAATAAGTAATAAGTGAATATTAATTAATTGCCCTTCGTTTTTTTTTTTTGATTTTGCAGCCTAAAATCCCATCGCTCTCTCGAGTCAAGAGGCGTAGAAAAAAGGCAAAATTGTGCGCTTAAAAAAAGTACACGCTCACGCTCAAGAACATCTGGGGCAGTTTGAGCAGCAACAGCAACAGCAACAACAACAACAACATCAACACCAACATCAGCACTCAAATCAACTTCAGACGTCTCATTTGCAGACATTGCCATATCAGTACAGCAATAACAACAACAACAACAGCAGCAACAACCAGAACAACAGCCACAAAATGCATTTGACAACCAACAGCAGCAACTCGACGGCGGCCAATGCCAACAACAATAACAACAACACGTCCAACAACAATAACAACAACAGCTCGAACGGCAGCAACAACAATAACAACACTAGCAATGCAAACGGCTCCAACAACAACAGCAGCAGCAACAACAACAACAACAACAGCAGCACAGAGCAAAACACGCCGCCAACAGCCGCCCAACTACTGAACGAGGCCTACACCAAAATGACGTCAGACATCTTGGCCGAACGCACCTTGGGCGACTTTCTCACCGAACACCCCGGCGAGCTCATCCGCACCAGCAGCCCGCTCTTCGTCTGCACAGTGTTGCCGCCGCACTGGCGCTCGAACAAGACGCTTCCGGTCGCCTTCAAGGTCGTCTCGCTGGGGGACATCATGGACGGAACGATGGTGACAGTACGGGCCGGAAACGATGAGAACTACTGCGCCGAACTCCGTAACTGCACGGCAGTGATGAAGAATCAGGTGGCCAAGTTTAACGATCTACGCTTCGTCGGGCGCAGTGGACGAGGTGAGTGACAAAAGTCTAGGCCGCACCATTCGGTGGCGGGAAATGCCAATTTCCGTTCCAGCGACACGAGCATATTTTCAGTGAAGCCCCTATATTGAGGGGATTGAGGGATTACGACCCTTTTAGGTCGTCTGAAATTCTCAGTTCCTTGCAGAACGACAAGAAATTATCTTTCCCTTAATAGATGTACAACTGATCCTTTTCGGGTTTTATTTTTAACGTATAACGAACATGTTCACATACTCTCAGCTGAACTGTCCCTCCCTGTTATAAAAAGCCTCTCTCTGGAATCTCTGACCAGGAACGGCTAATGGCTAATAAATCTTCCCCCACCGGGTCGGAGATTCCAATTATTTTTGTCTGCTATTTTGAAATAGTTTTTAATTAATTCTCAGCTTCGTTTCTTTTTATATTGGCAGATCTATTGACGCCTCTCTCCACACTTAGCTGTAAGACGGCATAGCTAGCCGAAAGGCAACCAACATTCCCCCACCGGGATGAAGGTGTTTCTTAGATACTATGTCATTTAATTAGATTTCTCCTTAGGCTTTGCTCGTTTATAAGGTTTTTTATAATCTTTATAAATAGTTTTCCACAGCCGACAGTCCATTTTTTCGTAAACATAAATATGCTTCGGAACCATCCAAATAGACTTGTGCACAATTTAACTTGACAGGCTAGCCATACACGACTCCGGCGAAGAGACCTCCCAACCCAGCAATAACAGTTAGGGCCGTAATTCAAATATTTAATTGCAATTTATTAAAGAACTATATTAGATTATGATTTGACTACTTATCGTAAGTCTCCGAGAGAGAAGATTCGATAACTAAATAAAAACAAAAAAAAATATATTTAGTAAATAAATGAGTTCATTGTACATACTCTGCATATATGGCATGCATTTTATCGTGTTCTGGCTCATCGATGCAATTATATGTATAGTATGTATATAGTACCCGTAGGGTACCCTACATGTATTCGGTAACAGTGAGAAGAAAGCAGCTCCGATTCTATATATAACATAATCAACATATTGAGTTGATCTCAAGCGTATTAGATACGCCCGTCCGTCTGTCTGTCTGTCTGTCTGTCTGTCTGTATGTACGCCTTAGTTCCGAAAACGGCTGAGCCTACATTGACCAAACTTGGTATGTAGACACTCCTAGTCCCTAGGCAGCACGAGTTTATTTTATTTTTCGTATCCCTTTTAATAATAAGAAGTCAATATTTCCAAATGTTATTTGATTGATTCTTCTTCACTGAACTTTTTAGCATTTTGTATTGTTAATTTCGTGAATTAAATTACGGACACAATTTTAAAAAGTGTTTTTACTTTTAATGAGCTTCCATTGGGTTATCAGATTTGAGCATATTGTGAGTATCTCTCCTGGGTTTTTACCACAGCCATTTATCAGGGAGGCATCTGAAGGGCCACAATGAAAGGACAAGTCTGGGTGGCTGGCTGAGTTGATTAGCAACATTTTCAAGCTATTTCAACGAAAAGTTTTCAAGTGCAAAAGCATGCAGCAATGAGAAGTGAAACGAAACTAAGTGTTAGGCACAACAATACGTCCATTATTGGCCCTCGTTGTGATGGACGTATGTTCTCCCTGCACATAGCCCTGTTAGCCAACAAGCTGTCTCTGCTATTTGGCCCTTTCGTGAGCTCAAAACAATTTGTTCAATTATTGCCGCCGCACGCTGAGTGGCAAAAGTTTTCGGGTGTACAAAAACCGTCTGCTCGCCCATCTTTTATGCCTTTGGTCCTTATTATTCAGAATGAGACCTTGCCGTGCACTTTTTGTGCTGCTGTCAACGGTTTTTGGCGGCGGCTTTTGTGCTCTCTTAACCGCTTGTTAAGCGTTGCAAAATTGTCAGCAGTTCATCAGGAGAGCTGGCAGCAATTTTTGCTATTTTTTTGATGCTCCATTGTGGACTTAAAGCGTTTAATCAACTGCAAATAAACTTCTTTAAACTGTATTCTGTGTAGTCATAGTCCGTTTCGCCATTATGATCGGCATGTGCATCATCATCAGCATCACATCGTTGTTGTTGTAGTTGTCGTTGTTGTTGTACTCGTACCTATTGTGTTGTACGTCCGTCCAAAAATCAAAGCAGACGCCGTCAAAATTTCATGCCCAAAAACATGTCGAACAGGACAAACAGCGAAACAAAAAATTCTTCGCAATTGCGTGCTTGTTTGTATCCCTGTATTTTGTATGTGAGTGTGTATGTGTGTGTGTGTGAGGATGTGTGAGGATGTGTTTGCTGTTTACACACACACACACAGAGACACACACCCGCTCACGATGAGTTGTACAGCGTATTGGGAAAGGCTTACGCATCCGCTGCGGTAGAACCGCAAAAACCAAAGCCTCAACAGTGCCAGCCGCAGTGGCAGAGTCGTCAGCACGTCTGAGCAGACAGAGAGAAGCCTCGCCCCCACCGCCCACGCTTTCATCTACGCACCCCTCTTCATCAGCATCAGAAATTTTTCCGCCTCCACCAAACCGCTCTCCTGGACCGAACGATTCATTCATTGTCATCATTTGGCATGCCAATGGATGAAAATGCTATCCAGCCTCAGCATCAGCCTCAGCCCCCAGCTCTAAAGGCCAGCAGCTACCCACCTACCATCCCTTCGTCCGTCCCGCCAGTTCAAGCATTCGCATTGAGGCGTTTAATTGTAAATTTCCCATTCATTTAGGCTGCCTGCTGTCCGTCCGTCCGTCCGTCCGCCCGTCTGTCCGGCGATGCGCGACGAGCCTGGACAAACAAACCGAACGAATGAATGGCAGCCAGCCAGCCAGCCAGCCAGCCAGCCTGTCCATATCCTTTCTCTGTCCACATGTGCGTATGTGTGTGCGCGTGTTGTGTTTGTGTGTGTGTGTGTGCGTGTGTGTGTGGAACATGGCCGCATTCACATCCGAGTTCACATTCGCGTCCGCTCCTCATTTAGACAGCCATCGCATATTTGCCGTGCGACATGAAAAACGCACGATGCACCAACAATTTTTCATTTTATTTGTCGTTTTTATTTCGCTGATTTTCTCTCTCTCTCTCTCTCTCCATCTCTCTTTCTTCGCTTCTCTCTCTCTCTCTCTCTCGCTCTTTTACTCTCTTCCCCCTCTCCCTTTCATTTCGGAAGGTGGCACTACTCTGGACTACATTGACGTGAAGCTAAAAAGGTAGAATTGGTAGAACTGATTGTAAAGGACAGAGATTTCGATTTTCTATTTAAACGGACAAGCGAAGAATTATGAAACGTGTCTGAGGAATTCAGTTGCCTGTCCTCCTCACAAGTACACAATACTCTCGCATACATACATATGTGTGCTTTGTATTTCAAAAAGTTCTACTACTAGTCCACATCATTCAGTTAGCATGTTTCCAACTAAACGACATCAGCCTTCGCCCCTTCCAAAATGTTAACAATCTGTAAACTTATTTTATTTCAACGAATCAGCAGCAATCAGTTCATTTATTGACGAAGGTACCCAAAAGGCACTAGGAGTACTCTAATATCCCAGCTTATTTTGAGCTTTTGATGCACTATCCTTACTACAATTGCCAATTTTTCAAGACACGACGCCAAATAAATTGTTAAGTATATGGTTTCTATTGGGTATGAAAATATTCTCAATATCTAGCTTTCGCAATTTACATATTCTTCAAGAATGCATCACGCTTTCATTTCGTTTTAAAGTCACAAACCACATTTTATATCTTTTGTAAATACTTGTTCCCCCCGGTTTTCGGGACATGGCTGATTATTATGGAGCAGACTCAGAACCCCACTACATATTATTAGTTTTCGAAATTGCAAAGCTTTAGATAACTAAACTCGACAAATTTAGTAGTTCATGAGTAATCTTTGGTGTTTTCCATCCAAACACTGCAACGCGCTAAATCTTTCAAAGATATAATTACTTTCAATGGACACTTTCAGGTTTTGAAAAAGCACCAATATGATTTCATTTGTTGGTCTCAAATGTCCTCACCACCCATTGATTCATTGTATTGGGCGCGATGCTACGATGGATTTGTTTTCTTTTCTTCCCCGACTGCATCCACAAGCAGGTAATTGCAATTAGACCGACTTTGAGTCTTTGAGTCCATTGTAAAACGACAAGCTTATCTTTAGGGCAACAAAGCTCCTCCATACCTCCTCTTTCATATTTTCTCAGTTTCTAACTATCCAAATGCTGTTATTTTCTTAGGTCATAAGGCTCTGTCTTTCTGCCGGTTCTACCGTCCTGTCACATTTCTGCGATCATGATATCGTATTCGATGCTGGCTGAGCCTTACCATTGCGTTATCCTCAATAAATGCGGAAAAGCGTTCTCCTGCTTCCAATCCTTCCCGTCCGGGGCAATTACTCTGAAGCTGTCGATCCACCTCTGCTCTGGTATGCAGTAGTCACTATCCTATGCCTTTGCGTTGTTTCTCCCATTTGGTAGAATGGTGCTCTGGCCCAAGGTATATTATTTGAAAAGTTTCAGTTCCCGTAGCCCCATATTGTCCAAGGTGGTTGCGTTGTGCCTTGTGGAGGTTTGGCTTCGGCCGCTTGCCCCCCAGACCAATGCTTCATAGTGTAGATCTTATTGCGAAGCTCTTTCTACAGATGCGAAGAGCATCCCTTGCCTTGGAATATACTCGGCCCTTTTCGATAGCTATGTTCTCTTTAGGCATAAAGTTTGGTTTTCTTGGGGGTAGCTGGTCCGAGACCGTTTTGTTGCTCCTACTTTAGGGTGGAGCCGAGAGCAGACTCCAGAAGTACACTAATTGTGAGAGAGAATTTGATCGTTCGCACATGTCGTGATTGAGTTTAGTTGGTATGTCTTGACAGCACTTTCTCTTCTTCTTCGTGTAAAACCGTCGAATGTTCTCTGTCGTCGGACTCTCTGCTGGGAATTCTGTTGACTGTAAGATGTGCTTTTTGTACAAATATGTTCCCTCTGATTTGCGGAGCAGCTCTAGTATGGATGGATCGTTAG